ATAAGTAAATAATGTATCCATGACAATTGTACTACTCTATACCTCTAATATAATAAAGTCAATTAATTTAGATGTCTCATCCCATGATCCAATATTAAATACAAAACAAGGCAAAAAAAATCATAAAGCATAACAGGGTCACTAGATCCAAATTTAAATACATGAAAAAGGCAACACTAAAAATTATTAGGTATGGTAAATCATCAAAATTAGTAGAAAGGTGAATTCTTGCTAGATAAAAACTTCAAATCTAGGATAAAATGATCATAAGAGAAAATCAAGTAATGTATAAGCCAAGAAAAGTAGAATTTTTTTTTCCCATTGTTATCTTCTTTGTGATGTTCTTTTTATGTTTTGGATACACAATTGTTTCCCAAGGAATGCTTTTTTTTTTTTGGGAAAATAGGTGTTGGATTTTTTTTATTTTAATTTTTTTGGAAATAGAGAAATAAAACAAACTGAATTGGATTTGAAAGTTGTTTGGAATGTTTTTATCCCAAAAAAACTCAAAATAAAAGGCACAGAAAAGGCACGTTCCAAAATTTTGGAATTGAGGATAAAATCAGAAAGTTGAAAAAATTTGAATTGGATAATTGAAACTTCCTTAGGACTTTTTTATCGAAAAAAAATCAATATAGATGGAAATTCAAAATAGAAGGGATAATAAAGAAGGCAAGTTGTAAAATTTTGAAAGTGGGTGCACAAAAATAAGAATGTTTTTTAAAAACAGTTTTCTTTGGAATAGAAAGAATAAAGACATAACTTTCCAAAAAAATTGAATTTGGATGCAATAAATGGGAAGTTCTTTTTTTAACCGTTTTTTAGAAAAAGTCATTAAAATATGTTTTTAACATTTTTATCAAAATACACGTGTTTTTTCTCGATATTTTCAAAATAACACAGTTTAAAACGTATTAGGACAAATTGGTGCCTTTTTTCAAAAATCGAGTTTTTAATGGCGACTTGCTAACCTTTAGTCTCAACTAGTTGAGATCCTCCTCTATACTAGACACAACACAAATATTGGACACTAGAACACTTGAAAACAAAGAAAACAAATCCCAAATAATCTAGGAAAACATCTAACCCAAAAGTTCGTAATCCAATCAGGATCTGAATCTTACTTTCTAGAACCCAATAACTTAACTACTTAAGTAACTAATTTAAAACCCAACTACAATGAGGACTCCATAATGAAAAGAAGGAAAACTAATGCAATTGGGAAATGAAGCACGTGCTAAGTTTACTAGCAGGCCTTCAACCATGATTTGAAGCCCAAAACGTCAAAACAACGTAAAACTCATAGATATAGGGGCATAGATGTTGAAGTGTTCGTTTTAAGATTTGGATCACCCAATTCATCCAAGTGAAAACTTATGCTTCTGGAAAATGGTATGCATCACTTTTCCCAAGTTGGGAAGAGAGAAAACTCATCCTCAAGTTCTAAAATGAGCTTGAATGTATCCGAATTTAAGTCAATTGTTGCCTTGATGCTTTTCTTCGGTGCTTCTAAAATTTATGATGGTACCTCATAGATTAAGCATATTATTCATTTGGAAACTCCTCGAGAAAAGGATCAATGTATGTCAATGGGGGAATTGAGAAGTACACATTCAATTCAATTGGTTTTTAATACCTTGTTGCCTTCATTCTCTTGTTCAACATTATCTTCACTCGAAGATGATCATGACCTCAACTTCATTGTGAGTAAGGGGATTCGTTATTTCCGTGATGAGCAAATTGAATTAGAGTTAGGTCAGGAGTCCTAGTTGGGTCAGAAAATATAATTGAAATCAGAGTTTTGGGTTTTCTAATTATGTCACGAGTTCTATTTGGGTTAGGATTCTTAGTAGAAAGAAATAGGAGTGTCAAGAGGTTTAACGTTACTCCAAAATTTAGGAGACCACAAGGTTTTGGGATATCTAAGTTCTCCAATATTGAAAGAGATTGGGGGATCAAGGTCTAAATAGGATAGCATTGAAGGTAAGGTTATAGGGAAGGGTCAGATAAAGGAAAGTTTGAGGTTTTTGGAAAATTGCCATTACAGCAAGGTAGTTGATGGATTAAAGAGAAATGAAGTGAGATTAGGGCTAATTTTGGGTTCATAAGGGTATGGGTGATCGGTTTGGGAAGGAGGTGGGACATGTTATTCAGGCTTGGGAAGGGTTGATTTTATGGCATAGAAGAAGGGTGACGAATTTGGTTTCGTCGAAAATGAGCTAACGGGAGAACCACGCAAAAGGGACAGGAGGCTATAACTTAGTGGGAAGACTCCCCCACTCTTAAGCTAGAGTAGTAGAATCACTATCTCCACCAAAACTTTTGAGGAACCTGTCCCCTAAAGGTAGCCTCTCAACACCTTGAAAACCCAACTTTCATTACATAACTTGATAATGAGTTGACCATAGCCCTAGCTAAGTATCTTTGGAGGGTTGGAAATAGATTTTCAGGCCATAGTAGGGGTTTTCAGCACTAGAGGGTAACACTTTATACAAACTACACCTTAACACTCTATACACCTTCTAGCAAGGTCTGGAGGTGCACCTTACTTTGATTGTTGGAAGCTAGCACCTTACTCAATAGCAAATAGAAAAGAAACCTAACACACTTAAGAAAATAAAATTCGTCATTGATCCTTTCAGCAGGCTTTCAACCACGATTTCAAGTTGACACATCAGAATTACGAAAATTAACAGGGATATAGGTCTAGATCACAAAGAGAGAAGCTTTGGATCACCCTAAACAAACATCTAGATGTAAAGTCATGCTTTCAAAGAGCAGAATGCATCACTTATGACTCTATAGTCTATAATATTTGAATATGAACAAAGCAGACAAGTGTTTCATTGCCTTTTTCTTGTTGAACACTTTCGACTTAGCTAAGCTGATTTCTCGACTCGGATGAGCCCCAATCTCTTTCTCAAGATTTGGATCACCTCAGACAAACATCTAGATGTAAAGTCATGCTTTCAAAGAGCAGAATGCATCACTCATGACTCTATAATACTTGAATATGAACAAAGCAGACAAGTTTGAAAACTTGATAAAGAGATTGGGGGCTCATCCGAGTCAAGAAATCAGCTTAGCTCAGTCTAAAGTGTCTAAAAAAATAAGGACATGAAGAACTCATATAAGAATTTATTATAAGCTCAAAGCTTTTGATCTTAATCCAACACAACCGAGTCTAATACAATTCTAGTTCCAAGCAATGCCTGAAACATTTTTCGATCCTTAATGAAGCCCCTAACACTGCAACAGAACTGCTAACAACACTTATACTACTTGCAATAAATCTGGATAGAATCAGGCAAGTCCACTTGTCTATAAACCAAGCCACGGTGGGAAGCTCCTATCATTTCAAAGTTAACAGCTGAATGCACCAAGATATTCTAATATAGGGATATATTTTGCCCTCTATATTCAACATCTTCCCATGCAAGCAAGTAATAGATAGTTTTGCTCTATACAGTAATCTAGCTTTATAATTCCATTTGGGTACATTAATCATCTTAATATTCTTAAAAAATCCATGTCATAAATACTCTGAAGGCATTTAAAGATGATAGGCTGCAAGGATTGTTGTGCCCGACGCTTGATTTATATTCTCGGCATCCTTCACTACTCATACATGAGTGGAATAACCAAAGGACCCCTATAGAAGAAATAATGGATTCCTTTTTCTTTTTCTAATAGGTAAGAGAGAAGGAATTGTCAATGTGAGTTGCATGCTTTATTTATTTATATATATATATATATATATATATATGAACAATTGGATAACACTGAAGGTAAGAAAGACCGGGCTCTAGAACTGGAATTACCAAGGCATATGGTCCTAAAAAATGTATTGACAGCAAACATTAGTTTCCTGGACATATATAACTACCTTTGTTTCATAGGAATAGTACTATAATATTAGT